GTCAGGCCAGGGCTGGCATGTGTGTGCGCCCCCACACTGACTGCTGCAGTGTTCTGGCTCTCCTCTATCCGTGTCAGCAGGGCTGTGTGACTGAAAGGCACTGGATTACGTACACTGGGGGCCAATGGGTCAGTGGATAAGAAGTCTTCTCTGTTACCACAAATCCACAGATTAAACGCAGCGTCGAGAGCTAGTGCTGCCCCCGGGGGCAAATGGGTCTGAAAACACAACTCCGAGAGAGCTTTGGCTTAACCCTTCTGTCACTGCGGAGCCACGAGGCAACATATGAGTGAAGTGACTCCTCTTTAACTCCCGCCGCATGAGGCAGGCCTTTTAAATACATCCGGGTCATCCAGGGGTTATTGGTAGTGTTGCTGACATGATATCTTAATTGGAAAGTTAATCCTGCGCCGGGACAGCTGACTCTAAGTTAAAACGCTCTGTCGTGCAGGGAGAAGTCAACAAAACAGCCGGGATGAGAAGGCAGGCCTCCGAACATACACAGAAAGGTTTGAATCATCTGTCTTTGCCGGGCAGACGTGCATACCCGCCCCAGGCAATTATCAGCACACACTGGCATTGTTTCCTTTCGCTGGCTGACTTCTCTCGATGCTGTTTCTGCACAAACAGATCAGGGGATATTTACAGTACCAGAGCACGTCAGCGCTGAGGTGATATGATGCGTTTCTGAGTCAGATTGGCATTTACCAGTGGTGTTTATTGTGAGCAAACTCTTTGGTGTGCCTGTGCTCATGTTTGCATACATCTCAACGGGCTTATGGACACGAGGAGCATCCGGGATGCGGGGGAGAGCAGATGGGGAGAGGAAGGTACTGTAGGTCTGCATGGGATAGTGGCAGGATGGCTGTTGGTGACAGGCTCTTGTAGCGTCTCGTCTGCTCCAGTGATCCTGGGGAATCTGGGTCATTTCCAGCCTGTTCGCATGTAACTGTTCCCCCCACTCCTTCCCTCCCTCTGCCCAGGGCGAGCTACGACCCAGCTACATGCTAATGATGACACAAAGTAAATGTACTCATCTCTTATGATAACCTGGGAGGAAGCTGAGCAGTGGACCACGCTGAGGTTCACTACACCTCTCTTCACCTTGCAGTCCTCTTCATGCAGCTGTTTGTCACTCTTCGGATAGAGGCACACATCAGGCTGTTCCTCTTTGCCAAGGATGCTCTCAGACTATTTAATGCAGTGAATCTGTATCTGTTGGCATGACAGCAGCTACAGCAGCTGACACTATGTATGTGGCGTTACCAAGCACTTCCACATTTCAGTTCAATTCAGTGCACATTTATTTATTCACAAAGCAATTAGTTTGTGGGTATAAGTTAGAAGCAGAGAGGAAACGGAGCACAGAGGGACGATTATGAGAAATGCTGTCTGGCTGTTTGTGGCTGCTTTGAGCTGAAAGTGCAAAAGCATCAATAAAAAAAATGTAAAAAATAAAAAATATTACATAAAAATGCCAGGGGTGGTCCACTTTGCAGAAGCTCAAGATAATCCACGTGTGCATAATGATAAATGAGAATCTAATATTATTTTGCTCTGATATGAAGGTTACAATTTTCAGCCTCCTTGAACTTGGAAACAGAAGAAACACTCTCACCTGATAAAGGTCAGTGAACATGTTCATGTTTCCCCCAAACATTTTTAGGATGTAATGAGGGTTTTTTTTGCTTTTATTTATTGCAATAATAACAATAATAATAATAAAAACATTATGTTCCTCTGTAACATGTGCAGAGGGGAAAAAACAGTAAAACTTGTGCAGATCAGAGCAACAACGCTGCAACTAAAACTGCAGATTTTTGCAGCTGCTGTCAGAGAAGTGCTGAATTAACTTTCTATTCCTTTTTTTTTTTTTTTCCAGGTCACAGTTTTGCCTGGGTCACAGTGTCCCTGCCTCCTCCTGTAGCCTCACCACCGCTTGGTTCTGAATCTTGGTCACCTGATGTCCTGGATTTGAGGTAAGAAAGTGTCTTCCTCTAATGTGTAGAAGTGTGAAGCTGCAGCGCATTAAAACAAACGAGGGGCTCATCAGATCTGATGCAGAAATCTGCTGTTTATTAAAAGCATGGAGCTGTGTTCTGTGTGACTGAGCAGCGCAGGGGTGGCAGTTGGATGCATGAAACAAATGGACCAAAGAAAGGAAAAAATAGTTTGAATGAGATCCACTGTGCTGCTGTGCTGAATGTGCGGAGATATTGGTGTCAGGAGGCCTATCTGACTCCGTGACATGGGCCTGGACTCCCTGTGATACAACCACTGGCTATATTTAACATGACATCTAACATTCGTCACTGCGTAAAATCCAGAAAAAGGTTACCACGGTGCAATTAAAATATAAAAATAGAATAAAAAAGGATCTATTTGCGAGCTTTTCCATATGACTAATACGCACAGGAAGCACTAATTCACTAAGAAAACAAACACTAAAACCTGTCCAGACTTTCTCTTTTTCTGTGTTATGAATGATTAAAGCGTGCCTATAAGCCAGACGTGTTGCTTACACAGCATGGTCTACAATTGTTATTTCCAGCTCTCCGTTTAAGAGATCCAAAACTCGTTCATATTTTATTGATGTGCGCTTCCCAGAAAAAAAAAAAAAAGTATTGCAGTCCTTGTAAATTTAGGCTGGGACGGGAAGCCTGCAGGAATGAAATATTCACAGACAGCTAAATATTTCAGAGCAGCACCTTGTCAGTCGCCCTCACAATTTACTTCCACTGCTTCATCTGATGGAGCTCTTATCCTTTATTTACTGCTTGGTGTTGAAATAAGGTTGGATGATTGGCGACCCCGATACACAGAAGTTAACTTGTCCTCATTTTTTATTTCTTTAAAAAAAAAAAAACATTTCTCCTCCATTAAATGCCAACATTTCTGTATAAAGATGACGCGGCCTGTTTGTTTTAAACAAAGCAGGCATATTATTTTTAGTTGTATTTTCCCATCAGCATTAAGGGATGATATTCAAATTCTTGATTATTAAGGTGTTTTTGTTTTTTTTATTATTATTTTTTAATGCGTAATGAAGATGCAGTCTCCATTAAGAGAATGAACAGCTTCATGTGCAGAAGGCATTTCATAACCTCCGCATCAAGAGTCCACGTATAATTCATGCAAAAAGATCCCGAAGGGGATTCAGCTCGAGTGTGTGGTGCGTGCATGAGTGCGCATGCATGAGAAACAGAGAGAGAGCGAGAGAGAGAGAGAGAGAGGAAGATAGAGGGAGAGGGAGGAGGAGGAGGGGGGGTATCTGTGAAAATAATATCAGGCTTTTCCGTCAGAATGAACTTTACTACTGTATCCAGCCATGAAATAATCTGACCCGACACTTCAAACCATCTGCGCTATCTATCCGCCCTCTTATTTACTAAATCAGCCTGTGCACAAAACGGAGTGTGTCTGATACTAAACCCGAGTAGCCTGGCGGGGCCATGATAATCCTATATACACAAATATTTCTCCCACTGCCGTGTTTTACAGACTCCACGCGAACGCCCTGAGCTGAAGCTGTCGGCGCCGATACTGTAAATAATAATAACACCCTCCAAAAAAACGTGCGTAAAAAGCTCCTGTCAGTGCGCACATCACACACACACACACACACACACACACACACACACACACACACACACACACACACACACACACACACACACCGTTTGGCCTGTGTTTTAAACTTAAAAAAGAGCATTTGTTCATGCCCAATATAAAAGAGCATGCATCACCGTGACTTGTGCGCTGATATGATTTAATATGATTGATAAATAAAGATTTTTGTGCGGTTGAAGTAAAATAAAATAAAAAATGTGGGAAGCCTCGGCTGAATGTTCAAGGTTGCGAAGCTGGAGTTGGCTGCAAATTCACAGTCCTGTTGAGATGTTGAAACAAAGGCCACATTCACCCTGTTCTCAATCATTTCTACAATTTAAAATTGACATATGACTCAAGATGCTCCACAAAATGTGCAGACAAAAAAAAATTAGAATCTAGACAAAAAAATAAAAATCACAGAGCAAACATTTAGATTTTTAGAACCCATCCAATAAGACCATCACAGGCCTGGTGAGACTGGAGGAGAGCCTATCAGAAGTGAGGCTGCTGGGGAAAAAAACATCACAGTAAAGACGGTGTTGAGCTATAAAAATGAGTGCATGCTGTCTGAAATGTACATATAGGCCCAGTGTGTAGTATTAGTGATTTTTACCTCAGGGCAGGACAGTCTATAGTCAGCGAGGATGTGTCATTTTGCCTGTTTCAAGAGCTCTAAAGGGAGGCTGTGCCGAGCGTGTTTGTCTGCTCCGGCACTTCACTGTGCGCACTGAAGAGTCTTTCTTCAGCACAAAGGCGCAGGGTGTTTGGGAAGCACGGTGGGGCAGCTAAACGTTTGAAGACGCGAAGCAAAAAGGTCAAAATGTTTATATTATTTCTGAAAAGGGAGGTGCTGAGATCTCCTTTACGCCCGATTGGCCGAACTTGACAGTGATTGACGTGCATCCATGGCAACCGGGCAGCCAATCTGCCAAGTCCAATAGGAAATCATCGGAGGGGGCTTGACTGTCTTTTTCTCCCCCCCTTAAAAATACATCTCAGCTCCGGCTTTAATTCTTTCCTACACTCAATCCCCTGCCTACCTTGAAAAATACATCGCCGCTCCGGCTTTAATTTTTTGGTCTTGCACCTTCAGCCCTTTGCCTGCCAAGTTTGCCAAGCCCGAGGATGCGGTAGCCAGGCCCCCTCCGCGCACCATCGTCCCTCCTCCGCGGCGCTCGGCGTGTGCGCTTTTCTCACGGCTGGTCAGACGATTGGTTCGGTAACTTTGGGATTTGCCTTGTTTTTTCGGGTGTCTTGGATTGCCTTGGCGCACGGAGCGAAGAAGCGGAGGACTCGACGCGGAGGAGAGGGAGAGAGAGAGCGAGAGAGAGAGAGAGAGAGAGGAGAGAGGAAAGGAGGGGGAGAGGGGAAACACAGGAGAAGCCTCCATGTTTCAGCTGCCCATCTTGAATTTCAGCCCCCAGCAGGTCGCCGGGGTCTGCGAGACTCTGGAGGAGAGCGGGGACGTCGAGCGCCTGGGCCGCTTCCTCTGGTCGCTGCCCGTCGCGCCGGCGGCCTGCGAGGTCCTCAACAAGAACGAGTCGGTGCTGAGGGCCCGCGCCGTCGTCGCCTTCCACACCGGCAATTTCCGTGAACTCTACCACATCCTAGAGAACCACAAGTTCACCAAAGAGTCGCACACGAAACTGCAGGCGCTGTGGCTCGAGGCGCACTACCAGGAGGCTGAGAAGCTGCGGGGCCGCCCGCTGGGGCCGGTGGACAAATACAGGGTGAGGAAGAAGTTTCCCCTTCCCAGAACCATCTGGGATGGAGAGCAGAAAACCCACTGCTTCAAGGAGAGAACCCGGCACTTGCTTAGAGAATGGTATTTGCAGGATCCCTACCCGAACCCCAGTAAAAAGAGGGAGCTTGCACAGGCTACTGGACTTACACCCACACAAGTAGGAAACTGGTTCAAAAACCGCAGACAAAGAGACAGAGCGGCGGCTGCGAAGAACAGGTGAGCTGCATGCATCCTTTAAACGCTTTCTGATGATCATACCTGCAACCAGTCAATTAATGTGAACGCAGCAGAAACAGGAGGAAAAAAAAACACTCGTGTGGTTTAACAGAGGTCCGGTTTAATGACCCAGAACAGGCCTGCTCAGAACCAAACACTCCTGACTTCACTGTTCCTCATATTCATCCTGCAATCATTTTTTTTTCTCCTTTTGAAATTCACGCAGCTCTCTTTGTCTGCGCTGACATTACACTGAAGGGCTGAAATGCCAGAAAGCAACAGCAAAAAAATTGCAGTGATTTTCTGTAATTTCTTCTGCAATTGTGGATTTTACTGTGACTGAATAAATGTTTTCTATTTTTATTAACTGTAAGATTAAAGCAGCAGAGAGGAACAGTCAATCTGAGCTTTAATGTTATTTGGTGCCATATTTATTATTATTAGAACTCAGCAGGTCCGTGAGTCCATATTAACAATAATAATAAATATGTAAATATTATTTCACGTGTAGTTTATTGCTGTAGGCAGCTGTTATTGCTGAGAGGCCTGTTCTGGTGGAGCTGCTACTGATCATGTTTATTAAAGCTGCCTTATATAAGCTAAAATTGCATATATATAATTTACCTGTTATATAATCAATAACATATTTATGATCTTGCTGTGATATTTGTAAAATTAATTTGTGTCTGTTTTATTGAGGGACTCATTTCATCCATGCACATTACAAAAAATATATTTAGTTTGTTTCATGTTGCGTTTTTTAAAATAATTGTTAAAGAACCAGCTGATGGGTTGAGCTGGTTTTATTTGTTTAAATCGTATTTTTTCGTGATTTTTAAAAATGGTTTTGTAATGTGTAATTGTGCTTCTGCGACCTGCCTGCCTGCCTGCTGGATGTTTTGATGCCATGTTGTCCCATCTCTCCATCCTCTGGCCAGGCTCCAGCAGCAGGTTCTGTCCGGCGGCTCGGTTCGCTCTCTGGCGGACGAGGACGGCACCGTGGACCGCCTGGGGAACTCGTCCAGTCCGGAGGCCAGTCTGTCCAGCAAAGCAGCCGCCTCGGCCATCTCCATCACCTCCAGCGACAGTGAATGTGACATCTGACGGCCAGAACGAAGGGTGTTAATGCGTCGAGGGGAGATACGAGTGAAAGACAATCTAATAAAACAAGTCATAGTGCCTGCGTTGAGTTAAGAAACAAAAAAAAGAAAGAAAAAATTACAACAAAACACATCCGAACTGATATCTGACGGCTGCCAAAACATGAGGATGATCCGTGGTCTGCGGCGGACTGCCCGTCCTTCTCCTTCTTAGGCCTGTACTTCTTCTTCTTTTTTTATTTTTATTTGTTTTGTTTTGCGTTTTACCCACGTGTGGAACTTAATACGGACGAAACACATTTCACGGACTAATAATCCAACGCTACGAGATGAAACGTAAAAAAAAAAAAAAGAAAAAAAAAGAAGAAAAATAAAAACAAACGAGAAAAAAAAGGAAAAAGGGATGAAGGGCATCCAAACGCGCCTAACCTGCTGTTCTCTGTGGGTATTTCATGTTGAAAAAGAACTGTGATATTTTTACTTTACTTTCAAAGTTTTATAAATAATGTTTATTTGCCTATTTAAAAAAAAAAAACAAGAACAACGATCTGCTCTGTCTCTTCGAATTTCATATTCATTTGCTTGGTGTTTTTAATACTTACCTTGTACACAGGTAAACCTGTTGAGCATGCGCGCTTTAGTGAAAATGTGTTTCAGTAAAAGAAAAAAAAAAGCAGTAAAGATAACTTAATAAAATAATTGTTGATGAAGAGAGTTTAAGGTTTAGTCTTATTCTTTTGTGGGGGAAAGAAGCGATGAATAAATGGTAAAAATCTAAATATTAACATTATTATATGGAACCATTCTGCTCTCTTGATGTTTGGCTGGAAATAAGAGACGTTTTTCGTGATTCTGGTGCCACGGTGCGAGATTCTCTGACACGTTTTCGAGCGAGGCCTAATTGGCCGACGTGCTTAGCGTCCTGTAATGCAGGGTGACAGCGAGAGGTCACGGTGAGGCCGGCTCACTAACCCGGATGATCTGCGAGAGAGATCATAGAGATCAAAACACAGCAGATTGCGCGGACCTGAGCTTTACGCAGCACATGGACGGAGGGACGCACGACGCAGGGACATGCGGGCTTCTGGAATCGTGCAAGTGCGCGTTTTCCCAAGACAGTGGGCGGTAATCAGAGCGCGCACGGTGCAAATGAAGCCGTTGATTAACATAAAAAGGGCTGCAACCCCTCTAATGATAGCATGGATTTATTACGGCTGAATCAATACGGGCTAATGCTCTGATGGATTTGTGCACATATGTAGCATCATCTTAAAATCTGATGTGCGTGATGTGTGCGTAATTTCAGCAGCTCTGTTAAATGTGCTTTGCTGCGTTTTTATTTTATTTTTTGTGGTATATTTATAGCATCTTTTTTTAAAACCTTAAACCTTGGACTTTAATATTGTCTTGCAAGCTGAAATTCAGTTTTAAAAAAAATGTATTTTATATATATTTGCGTTCACATATTTTTTTTTCCAAACCATAAATACTTTTTGGATGTATTTTCCTCATGCGTCAGAGCGCAGAGGGGCAGGACCAAAACCCTGAATTCTAAAGTTCAGCTCTTCCAGTTGATGGAGCAACCACCTGGTTTCCTCCAATTTGCAATTAATTAGGCTACAGTAACTTATGAAACAGACAAAAGGCTTTCAGCTCGAACAAAACAGAAGCTAAATCTGTATGGAGAGATGGAGAGAGAGCAGACAAGAGAAGTGAAATAAATGGGGCTCGGGGTGCTTCTCTCTCTTTTTTTATTATTATTTTTTTTCCCTCTTCCTCCCTCCCTCCCCCTCCTCCTCCTCCTCCTCCTGCTCTTCTTTCAAACTCTGAGGACAAAGTAGCTAAATATTTCCGTTTCTATTGAGAAGAAGGACGACCGGGGGACCAGATGAAAAAGTCTTTCTCGCAGTCAATAAGGTTGTCAAACTGGTCAGCGGTAATCAGTGCTAATGATGGGTCTGGGGTCCCAGCTCGGACAAAAGGGGCCCCGCCGCTGTTTTGTGAAGGGGAAGCGACCGCGGGTCCCTCTCCAAAGAAAAGCCTCCTGTGAGGAGAGTCTGGGGGGCACGAAAATCACAACTTCTCCGCTGTGGATGTGTGTGTGTTTGTGTGTGTGTGTGTGTGTGTGTGTGTGTGTGCGCGGCTGCTGCTGCTGCTGCTCTCCGCTCTGTGAGCTCATGTCTCGTCCTGTTAAAGGGATTTAATCACCAGTTGATTGTTTTCGGACTCGTAGTAGCAGCTCCTGGTCCTTGTGCAGCCTCACGGGCAGCAGGACGCTGATTACGCGGCAGTAAGTTTACATAAACGATTTAACGCAGCTTGTGGGTGAGCTGCTGTAACTAAACCTCCACATTGTCTGGGAACGTTTTCAGGTATTTCAGCCCCTTTAGAATGTATTTTTTGACAAGTGCTGCGGAGGATCTTTGAGTCGTGGTTTGTGATATGTGATGAAGGGCAGGCTGCAGCCTTGGCTATACGTCTTTACTGTGATTCAATCTGTCAGCGTCCTTCAGCGTGCAGACACTCTGGAGCGCAGCAATAGTTTGTCTTTATAAATCACTGCACATCTCAGATATGAGTCTGCAGAGCTCCTGTCTTGCTGCATTTAATGGAATAAAATTCGTGCTATAGCTGTTTTTTTTTTCTTTTTCTTTTTCTGTAAAGCTGGTTAAATAGATTACAAATGCATTTTTAGCCTTTTAAACTAAAACCTACGAGTCATCTGACTAAACACCAGCGCCAGGATTAATTAATACTTATTAATAATAATGTTAATGATGAAAGAAAAATAATAATACTACAGAAAAATATTATTTTCCACTTCCATGACTTTGAAATCTCTCGTTAGCTGGTATTAATGAAAAATTCTAGCTTTAGGTTGATACAGAAAAAAAAACTAAATATCAAACATGAGTCCAACGATGTTATGTCAAACTGTTCTGGAGACTTTGTTGTGTGAAAGTGCCTCATTACCGAAGAAAATGAAGTTTCTGCTGCTTTATTTATTCATTTATTTTATTTATTTTAATGTAGTTATGTCCATTCTTTATCTCACACTCTCTCAGAATTCACCCTTTAGGTTTTAACGTTCAGGTTGGTGAAGGTTTATCATTTTCTCTGCGCGTTATCAGCCAAACGAATTTAATATTGACAGCATTCATTTATGGGATGTAGGAGCCGTGAAGGGCCCCGGCACTCTGAGGGTCGTTTACATCTAGTCTAAATAGGAATGCCTCAGTAATAATAATAATACAAAAAAAATAAACAACTTCTACGTTTTCTAGAAATTAATTTACCAGCCTGAATCAGCACAGAGTTGTGCGTCTCTGGGCTTCTTGGCGCAGTAATCAAATAAAATGTCTTCATGCACTAAATTGGTTCGCACCTCAGACAGCTTAATGATCACCAAAAGTTAAAGCTGCAGATCTCTGGAATCTCCACATTTGACTTCTTGAATGTGTAACAGCAAACAGTTTGCTTTATGAAGCAGTTAAAACAGATCTGGGTTGATCTGGACCTGCTGTATCCAGGCAGTGCTGCCACCCCTCAGTCACAGAGTGGTGCTGATGGTACAGTCAAATATATCACATTAATCTGAGAGAAGAGACTCACATCATAGGTGCATGTTTGGTCTTATACTCTGTGATGCTTTTAAGTTTCCAGTGCTGAAATGAAACTAAGATTCTGTGCCATTCTGAGATTTTTATACTTCATCTCCACTATTTTTTATTTATTTTTTTGCAGGGAAACGTTGTACTTTATTATTCCATTGCATTTATCTGACAATTTTAATAACAATAGTTTATTTCCAGGTTCAGATTATAAACACATACATCTGAAATGTGCAGTCTGAGGCAATAATATTCATGCGTAATGATAATTCTGCCATTACGCACGCACGTTATTCTGCAGTTCTGTCCTTACGAAGCACAATTTCCCTTTTTTATTGTCACTGTCTCACAGATATTAATTAGGATTGTGGCCAAGCCGTGCTGGTGTGTTGGAAAACAGAAACACCTTTCAATATAATGCAGCATTTAACTACAACCTCACCAATAAATATAAACTAAATTTACGCATTTACAGAAAACACTGAACACCATGGGTAAAGACAGGTCTCGTGGTGTATTTGCCTGAATCTGATTGTGTATTTAATAGAGAGGCAACCACAAATCACTGTGTTATAGTAAATATAGAGATATTTGGCAATATTTAGAATAAATAAATAGAAAGAAAAAATACTAATGCTCACACAGAAATGCATCAATAAATAGAAGTCAGTAGTAAATATAATTTTAAAAGGGGGCATTCTGGATGAATAGTGTTTTTATTTTACGCACAGTGTTGTACTGAAGTCAGGATGGAGGACATATTTATACCAGTATTTGTGTCTTTTATTAAGAGATCTCGTTACAATGTGAATAATAGTCATAATAATAATAGTTTCTCTCTCTCTCTCTTTTTCTTTTTGGTTTGTTTGTTTTTGTTTTCTTCTGCCGTTGTTGGACACATGACACAGAGTGGACACATGTTTCCCTCCACACGCCTCCTGAAGTGGTCGAGGTCACTCAGCAGGGAAACGTGTCCCTTTCAGCAGAGCTTTTGTCCTCCGCCCTCTTTCAGCCAAAGCGCTCTCCATCCTGTCCACACTCCAACAACTTTCTTTATTTGCTTTCCCTTTTTTCTTCTTCTTCCCCTTCTTGTCCCCCCATTTCTTGGTGTTTACAAGGTTTGGCAACATTTCACTGTGTGAGCTTTTGAGAAAAAAAAATAAGATGGGAAAAGCGGGCGTTTCTTCTTTTTTTTTTTTTTGTCTCCTCCTGCCGGTTCATTGTGCAAAAGGTCACGAATTTCAGGAAAAAAATATTAATTTAAACCCACTCCTTTCCCCTTCTGAGGAGATTTCCAACCTTGGGGAAGTATTTTCGAGGTGTTTGTGTGCGCGCTAAGATGCTCTGCTTCCCATCTCGGAGGTTTTCTTTCCAAACAATGGGAGACAATGTCATGTGTGGAGCAGAGATGCTTCATGCTCTGAAGGCTCCGCAGCACCAAACGCCATCATGAGGAGCTCAACGTGGAAACTGCGTGTCTGTGACGCCCCCTGCTGGAGGGGATCCGGCACATGGAGCTGCG